GAACTCTCGCGGTATTCTTGGAGCCGCCGCGCGCGAGGAGGGGGCCTTGGGGCCTGCCCGCCCCGCCTGGCTCCGGGACCCACCACCCGAATCTGTCGGGCCTTTAGGGCCAAGGGGCGGTCGTGCTATCCCGAGGGCCAGAGGCGTTTTGTGGACAATGGGGTAAACTGAGGCAAAGGCACCGAACCCCGTCCAGAGCCCTGCTTGCAGGAATGGGGAGACCCGATGCCCCATCCTGTGCTGGTTGGGCCGGTGCGGAGGGAGGCCTGTGAGCTCTGGAACCTCAGCTCCCCTTCTCTGCCCCCCAGGTTAGCAGGGAAGGTCTGGACCTCCCTCCAATTGGCTCCGTGGCCACCTTTGTCACTCTGGCCACTGTCTAAACCCTGGAACTTTTTGGGGACCACTGACCATTGGATTGATCCCAGCTTGAGTCGTAGATCAGCAGCTAGGACATGGTTCCCTTCAGAAGAACCTGCGAGTGTCAGGTCTGCCGGTGGCACGAAGCCCCCCTCTATAAGGTTTAGGAATGAATGAAACACAAGAAAACAGTGAACCTCTCTGTGGTGGGACTGTGGAGCGCCAAGCACAAGCTGGAGAGGAGGTAGAGAATGCCTGGGGTCCCACAGGAGGCAGGCAAGGGGCATCAGTTTCCTGTGCTCAGCTGCTCAGAGCACCCCATTTTCCCATCTTGAGAGTGGAGACCTTGAGTTTTATTTTGTGCCTACAATATTGTCGAGATTTTTTTTTTTTTACCATGTGCAATTAAATCTGGCTTTTAAATGTTTTCTAATGTTTCTTTTTATGTTCCACAAACACTTTGGGCTCCTCAGAATTAGTGTGGGATCGAAACTGCTAGGTGAGAAATGGAGTTACAAGGGACATCTCCTTCCCTGGGCCCTAACTGCCTGAGACCTCCTGCCTTGCAACCCTTTGGGCAGGTTCCTCTGCACTGCTTAAAGGGAGGGCAGAGAAGGTATTGGGAGATTTGGTGTCCACCTCTTCTCAGTGGGATCTTGGGATCTGCTCTGCCCAAGGGCTGCATAGATGCTCACCTGAAATAGGAGAGTCCCCTGTGGAGGGGTCCATTGGTTCCTTCTTTGAAAATCTGAGCTAGAGAGGCCAATGTCCATAGTGACCACAGGAAAGGGAGGAAGTTGCCTAAGGCCAAGGGGACATCCTTCCTCCACTTTTTCACCATCCCCAACCCTGGGACAGGCCCAGCAGCTTGCTGAGATGGGTCAATGTCTGTTCCCCTGAAGTGCATAGACAGTTATGTGTTTAAGTGATCTTGTCTCTGGCAGCATCCACAAACCACAACCCAGTGTGGCATATGTGTAAGTCCCATACTGAGTGAGATCAGTGCTTGCTTGTGGTGACTGGACAGCAGAGTACATGGGGGGAGTAATCTAGATCATAGTTTGTGTGTCTAGGCTGTGGTGTATTTCTGTGTAAATATCTGTTAGGATGTAAGGGGCCAAGTGTTTTCTATGTATCTATATATCATAGTGTTGTATAATGTGAGTGTGTGTGTGTGTACTGTGGGTGTGCTGTGTTCTGAATGTTTCTGTATGTTGGTCATTATTGTATCGTACAGCAGTATTTCTGTGTTTGGGTACTGCGTATGTGGGAGTGTTACATACCTTTGTGGGTACTGGGCTTATTTGCCTGACCAAATACACAAGTATTTGTTTGTGCTGGGACATATTGGGTTTGATTGTCAGTGTCACTGTGTTTTTGCAAGGCAGGTGGCAGAACCACTGAGCCAAATCCCCAGCCCTTTGTGTTAATGTTTGATGCCCTGTGTTCCTATTTGCGTATCTGGTTGCTGTGTGTAGTATGTCGGTGTGTGCTGTGGTCTGTGTGCCATTTATATCAGAGTACTGCCCTTTGCGGGAAGGCCAAACAGTGAGTCCTAAGAGATGACCATCTGGGATCGATCCTGAACCTGTGAAGGGAGGTACTTTGTAAAAAGGCTCTCTGCAGATGTGACTAAAGCTCCTGATCATCCTGGATGACCCAGGTAGGCCATAGATCCAAGCATCCTTACAAGGAGGAGAGAGGGAGATTTAACGGAGAGAAGTGATGTGAGGCAGAGACAGATTGCAGTGCTGTATCCACTGTGCTGCTGCAGTCGGAAGAGGCAAGGAAGAACTTCCTCTCATCCCCATGGGATGCTGGTCCTGCTGGATTTCAGACTTTGACCTCCAGAGTGGAATCACTTCCTTCCTTCCTTTAACCCTGCCTTTCTCTTTCTTTTGTGCTGGGGATTGAACCCAGGGTCTCCCCACATGCCAAGCATGCACTCTATTACTGAGCTATATCCTTAGACCCTGAATCAGTTTCTATTCTTTGTGTTCTTTTGCTAGAGCAGCCCCAGGAACCTCCTACACCACTGTCTGGGCTGTTGCTTCCAGTGTATCACATATATTGTCCATCACTGGGGTGCCAATCCTGAGGCCTGAGGTGCCTCAGTGACTTAGGGGAACAGCAGCCCCTCCCAGATAGGACACCACTGCCCCCTGGTGGTCCCAGGGGCAGGTTGCTGGGTGGGACACCCCCTCCCAGACCCAGCACCGTGGGCACTTGAGAACCAGATTTATTTCTTATTTTTTTGTCAGAGTATAAAAAAGTGAACGGAAAACAAGGAAGACAGGACAGGAGCACAGGATGGGCAAGACAGAGTAAGGAGAAAGGGACCGACGTATGCCCTTTGGCTGAAGGCTGATGTACAGAGAGGGGATGCTTCAGGTAGCCAGACACAGAAGGGGGTTTCCCATGGGTAGGGGCAAAAAGGATGGGAGATGCCAGGCCAGTTGTCCAAACTTCACTTGGACTCTACAATGACTAACCCAGAGAACCGAGGCCAGCTCAGGCCATAGAGAGGGGACCAGAGGCTTATCCTTACTTGTCCCTGAGACTTCCAGAGTTCCCAGGGGAGTGGGAGAGGCAGAGGAGCAAGATGGTGGGGACTTCCAGGGTCACACTCACTGTCCCTGTCCTGGGTAGCACGAGTTCCAAACCTCCCAGGGAAGGCTGCTGGGGCATCTGTTGGCAGACGTGGTGTAGCCCCCAGTATGGTCTCTCCTGTGGATCCAGGTTTGGGAAAAGGGTAAGGGGAATGCCCACATGTACTACTGCTACTTGAAAGTTAAGTTCAAGAGTCAGGGAATATGGAAGATGTTTAAAAGTGACTCTCTCATAGGCAAGGCCAGGGACCACCAAACCTGGTGGGCATTGGGCATGGAGTCACCTGCACAGGGCTAAAGTCTTCATTGTGCCCATTTGGTCTTTGGAGATTGGGCATCCTGGGCCTCTTTCAGTCTTGGTTCCAAGAAGTAGATGGGGGTGTAGCAAGGATTTCATAAATAATAAGTGAAGTCTTGGTATGGTGCAGAGTGGGGCAGGTGCTGATCTACTACTCCGGACAATGGGTTGGGCCTGCTGGGATCTGGTGGGGGTAGGGGGGAAACAAGCCAAAGGGAGCTGACACAGTTTGTCTCACTGTACGGCTGATCTGGTGGTGCTGGGGAGGACACCGAACTGGAGAGATGCCGGGTGAAGGGAGTGGTCACATGGTGAAGGGAACATAAATAAAGAGACTCCCTTGGAGTCCAGGTTCATTCAACCCACTCTGGCTCCAGGCAGCTGACCTGTGGCATGCTGCCAGCAGCACCAAGGGATGGGCCTGGAATCAAGTCCCTGGAGGGGGCCACGTGCAAGTGCCCACCTAGCCCCAGGGTATGAACTGGAGTGCCTGACCAGAGGCATCTGGAGGTGGCAGTCCTGGTCCTGCCTGTCCAATGGGCCAGGCTTGGCCAGCAGGGCATCGTGCAGGGTCCAAGAAGGGCTGTGGGGCCAGCTCTGCCTCATCCTTGGCTGTGGGTCCTGGTCACTGGTCACAGTGCTGGGGTCTGGGGTTCAAGCCTTGGCCGCAGCTAGGACATATTTCCGAAGGAAGCTGTGGGGTGAATGGAGTTGAGGGAGGGGCAGGTCCCTGCCTCATCCCAGGATGGTCTTCACAGGGCCCCAGCCACCCTCCTGTGGTCAGGCAACTCAACCTGCACTCTCAGCCCAGCCCCCCAGGTCTCTGGCACTCCTGGCCTCTCCCACTGACCTTGGCTGAGCAGCTGCAGGCTCCGCCCCTCCTCACGCACCTGCAGGCGGAGCACCTGCTGCAGCACCTCCTGCCTCTGGGCCTCCTGTGCCAGCCCCATTCGCTGCAGCTTCTCCGCATTCAGCCGCAGCAGAGCCCTGCCTGGAGAGAGGGAAAGGGCCCAGGGGAGGCCAAGGAAGGCGTGAAGGGGCAAGGCAGAGACCAAGAGACAAAGGGGATCATGGGGAGTCTCAGACATGTAGAGAGACTTGAAGGGGAAGGCAGACGGAAAGACAAGGCGAAGCAAAAGACAGAGGCCAAGCAGAGGAGCCCCAAGTGATGGGACCTGAGCATCTGGAAAGACAGAGAGACACAGAGACAGCAAAAGCCCTTAAGGAGAGTTTGGATAGAGGGGCACAGGCAGAGGCGGAGACAGGCTGGCTAAGTGGGAGCAGGCTCTTCTGGGCTTCCCAGCCCCTGCCCTGCACCAGCCCCACCGTACCAGTGATGGCATGTTGGGAGAAGGCCTCGACGTAGACGAGGTAGTTGTGGGGACAGTGTTTCTTGAGCCACTTGCAGACGTCCTGCTGGCTCCATAGGACTACAGGCCGTGTCAGCCCACCCAGAGAGGGGCTCGTGTGGTACAGACCATAGTGGTCAGAGTACAGCCGGCCCTGGAAGGGAGGAAGGATGGCAGGTAGCAGGAGGAGGGTAGCAGAACAGGTAGGGTAGGGGATGAGGTAGGCAGAGTGAGTGGTACCTGTGTGGTCTCTGTGCCAGGCTGCTGCAGAAGCTTGATGGGCCTGCTGCTGGATGCCCTCTGGCTACGCGAGTTGTGCCATGTGAGGCTGGAACCTGGCATCCGAGGCAAGTGGCAAGGGATGCTCTCAGCTGACACTGTATGTTCCAGGAGGGTCTGGCAGAAGCTGAAGTGGGCAGTGGCTGTGTGCCAGGTACTCAGTCAGGACTGGCACCCAGTCCTCACACACACACGATACCAGTCCAGGGCCATAAGCACAGGATATGTCTTTGATGGAAAAGGCCAGCCCCTCTTGCCTGGGATGCTTTCTGTGGTTGAGAGGTCTGAGGCCACTGCCTGCCTCTCACCAATGAAGGTGACGTCTCTACAGCCACACCTGATGTTTGTGGCTTGGCCCCCGCTTCACTGCATTCACCAACTATGACTCACTGACAACAAGCCTGAATTCTGGGCGAGCAGACAACTGGAACTCCTTAAACACATGCTGAGCTTTCCTGCTGTACTGCCCCAGGAGGGCCTAGCTGGGACAGCACTATGTGATCTGTAGGCGCCTGCTGCCTGTGGGCTGTTCAGGACAAAAGTATGGAATACAGCTACATTTTGGGGAACTTCTTCCAACACCAACTTCATTTTGTTCCTCATGTTTTAGTTTTTTGGGGTGTTTGTTGGATTGTTTGTTTGAAATAAGGTCTCTCTATATAGCCCAGGCTGGCAACAAACTCACTCCATCCTCTTGCCTCAGCCTCCAGAATGCTGAGATTACAGGCATGTGCCACTATACCCTGCTTATCTTATCTTTTAGTTTTTCGTTATTTCTGGGTTCACTGATGACTTGAATCTGGGAGGGGCTAATGCCTGGGTGAGATCCTTCCCGTCTAGGTTGGGATTGCTAACTAAGACTTGCCCAATTCTGGTGTGCAGGAGGTACCCCATAAAAGCTGTGAATGAATGTACAAATGAATTAATGAATAAACAAGTGGAAGCTCTGTGTGGTGTCTGCAGGTCAACAGAGCTTGCCAGGAGAAAGGAAAGTGTAGATCACCACACATGAGCTCATATTCACTCTTCTGGAGCATCCAGGTAGGATGAGGTTCCCATGCCAAGACACATGCCCACTTCATCCACCTGCTTAAGTGAACTTCCTTTCCAGTCAACCAGTCCCTCCCTCCCCAATGGAGCCAGACTTCTGATGTGTCCAAGTGTTCTGAGTAGTGGGGGAAACCCCATTCTACTCCCCCATGTTTCCACCCATAAGATTCCTGCAGCATAGAATCCTGCTGCTTAGCATACTCTTCCCCCATTCTTGCAACTTTCAAATCGAACCCCAAGTGCCTCTAAACTTGAGGTGTAAGGTCAGGTAGAGTGTGGCTAGTGTGGCCACCACCCTGAGGTAGCCTCTAGTGCGTGGGAAAAGATTCATTCTAAATCTGCACTTTCCACGGGTCGGCACTGTGGTCTCAGGGGGGGCCTTGGACGACTGGGACAGAAGAGCCACGGTGGGGAAACCACTCCTCCGCCTTCTCGAAGGCACCTGCCGAGTGAACGCGGCCCGCCCATTTCCAGCTGGCACTCTGGGAGGGTCCGAGAAGGAAATGGGGTGGGGCGGCAGGTTTCAGCTGTGACCTCCGTCTTACGTCCCCCATCCGCCCCAGTGCCAGCGATGCGAGGAGGAGTGACCCCTGCGTGCTGCCAGTCTGAAGGCAGAAACCCCGGAGGGTAGTCTCCCATCCCAAGCCCAAAGCACGCTGATTCCCGAAGCCTGACGCTGGCCACCCCCCAGGCAGGACAAAGGCCACCGAGGCCAATGGGACCGGGACGCCCCCAGCCAGGATCGCCACTGGAGCCCGCCGGGTCTCTTCTCCCCTAGGGCTTCTCGGTCCCCGAACCCCATCCCCACCCGCGATTCCCTGAGTCCCAGCCCAGCCTGCTCACCGTCCACATCCCGGCTTTCCCCGAAGCGTGAGTGCGCGGCCCCGGCGCGGCCCGGCGGGGGGCTCAGCTTGGCCCTCAGCTCGGTGAACATGGGGCTCGCGACCACTGGAGCCCGCCGGGTCTCTTCTCCCCTAGGGCTTCTCGGTCCCCGAACCCCATCCCCACCCGCGATTCCCTGAGTCCCAGCCCAGCCTGCTCACCGTCCACATCCCGGCTTTCCCCGAAGCGTGAGTGCGCGGCCCCGGCGCGGCCCGGCGGGGGGCTCAGCTTGGCCCTCAGCTCGGTGAACATGGGGCTCGCGACTCGCGA